AAAAAAAAAAAAAAAAAAAAAAAAAAAATAATAAATATACATTTAATATATTTAAATAAAAAATATAATACAAAAAAAAGAGAGAAAAAGAAAAAGCGATGTAAAAGAAAAAGAAAAATAAATAATATCGAACGGTCGCAGCTGAACGAGAACGCCGTTGCGAGAGATGCGATGCGGTGCAAAATGGCGGATATTGAAAAGAGACGAGTACAAGAGAGCTCAATATTTCGACTACGTATTCGTCTCTCTCCCTCTCTCTTTTTTTCTTCTTTTTTTTCCCGAGGGGTAACAAGGACGAACGATTTCGAGCCATATTCGTGTATACGCACGACGAATAAAAAGGAAGTATTTAAAAAAAGGTTGAGATTTTTTTTCTATCTTCTACGAACATGATTTTTCTTTTCTTTTTCTTTCTTTTTAAATAACATAAATATAAAAAATATTTACAAATTCGTCGTCGGTCCTTGCAAATCCCTCGGGAGCTTTTTTTTTTCTTTTTACGTGGGAGATGTTGAAAATTAAAAAAGGGTGTATATATAGTTGTTTTTTTTTTTTTAAATCACGTGGTTGAGAACGCATTCGAAGCTCAGAACGGTATTTCGAATGGAAATTCATTTAGAATTGAAAACAATTTAGGTTAAAAGTGCGTCGACAAAAAATGGCCGACCGATCGGAGCGACGATAGCGACACCACGCGACAAAGTGCCGAAGGAAGATCGAAATATACACACATACGTATGTTTTTTAATGCAAATATAATGTTACACATTAAATAACGTCATACGTATATGTATATAAAATAAATATGATGAACGATAATAGAGAGACGACGAGTATGTAGCATAAGTAAAAAAAAAAAAAAAAATTAACATAACACCGATTAATATATTCTTTTAATTCTCCGGCTGCTATTATTATCGTATATATACACATTTAAAATTGTTATAATGCAGTAGCTAAACAATGCGAGTGAGACAATCTGGAATATAAAATATATAAATGGATTATAATTATAAACGGTGAGCAAGGTTTGTGTTGCATGTAATATTATGTTTCACTTTTTTTTTTTTTTTATCTTCTTTGTATTATGCTCTCGAGTTATGCAAGTATAATAATATGCATGTGAAATATGCAAACATAGGGAAATCGCGTGTAATGAACGCGAACCGATCGGAAGACGATCAGCCATTTTGTTTTTAATTTCTGCCTTGCTGTCTCTCGTCATCATCATCATCATTATCATTGATGATTAGTATTAACGCGTTAGTGATTAACTACACACCTTTGATCGTTCTAACACGAGATAAATATTTCGTATATAAAAATATATTTATATATATATATATATATATATAAACAAAAATATCTATCTAACTGTATAAGTGTGTCAACAAAAAAAAAAACAAGAGAGCTATCACAATCGTTGATTAAAAAAAGGAAGGAAGATTGATATATATATGTGTGTGTGTGTGTCGTCACCGCTTGCTTGGGACTTGCGAAAAGGATGTTTTTTTTTATTTTTATCAGTAGTCGGTAACGAAGGAACGACCTGTGCTGGTATCATAATATCCCACATTATTAATGTGAAATAATGATTTATTTTTATTTTTTTATTCTATCTTTCATTATTTTCTTTTATAATAATTGTCGGTATTGATTGCTATTTTGAAAGGACAGCCAGCGACAATTGGGAACAGATGTTGAAAAAAACGGAGATTTGTGTGTGTCTGCAGGATACTCAAGGTACTGGACCTGGAAGGCAGGACCTGGAAACAAAGGATTAAGAGACCCTTCCTTCTCTTCTCCTCTCTTTCTCCACACTTTCTCCTCCACCTCCTCCTCCTCATCTCCTCTCCTTTCTGCATCATCTCCTCCAACTCCTCCTCGGCGTTATTATTGGTGTTGGTTGTTAAAAATCGTTGGTTTGGTGTTGTTGGTCACGTTCCGAAGATGCTGCGAATGTGTAGGGCTCGTTCCATTTCTCTCTCTCTCTCTCTCTCTCTCTCTCTCTTTCATCAATTAAACATTCGCTCACTTTCACTTGCACTCTCTCTCTCATAATCATCATAATCACCCCTGTTGGTTGAATACGTTGAACGACCTCGAACAATGATGTCTTCTCTCTATTTTCTTTTTTCCCCATATACTGTTGGTACAATATTGTTTAACACGTTCCGTACCTGAATTTTGGTTCTTCGGTGAAAATTATTATTCTGTTTTTAAGCCACATGGGGGTTAAATACGACCCCCACATAATAACATTATACAAAACCAGCTATTACTTTATATATATTTTTCGAAATAGTACGAACGTGGACAAGTTTTTAAATTAAAGTAACACGTATGCGACCCAATACCGGAAACCAATATACGGAACGGAACGTGTTAATTTAAAAATCCACCTATCTCTCTTTCTCTTTCTCTTTCTCTTTCTCTTTCTCTCTCTCTCTCTCTCTCTCTCTCTCTTTCTTTCTCTCATATCTCACCTGTCTTTTTACCCCTGGTCATTTATTAACAACAATAAAAAAAAAAAGATCAATTTCTAGCCTGGCGCGAATAGTAATAATCTCTCGTTTTATTGTCTAGTTGTCCATTAATTTATTATAGTTGTTTTTTTTTTTTTCTTAATATTTTCTTTTCATTTTGCAAAATGAAGAGAGTTCGGATCAGACTATTCGCGTCAGGCTGCTGTTAAAAAACACATTGTCCGGAATTCCTTTCCTGGTTTAATAAATATTGTTTCGACGACGCGTCGTTCGACGATAATTATCGATAGAAATAAAAAAAAGAAAAAAAAAGTAATCCAAAGGATCATTGTAAGAAAAGAAATGTATTGGTTTTCTATTTCTCGGGATCGATTTAACGGTTTCGTTTTTCGATCGACAGTATCGTCGATCGCAGCGTCGTCGGTGATTTGATACGGACACGATAAAAAAAAAAAAAAAAAAAAAAAAAAAAAAAAAAAAAAAAAAA